TACCTGATTGATAAAACATCCCATAACTGAAATGAGCTGGTAATCAAGGCTTTCTAAGCCTATGTCACAACCTATATATATCATAAATGAGATATGTCTGTATTTCTAGGAGACTAGAACAGAGAGGAAGAAGCACAAGAGGCCTCAATGTTTGAACTAGAAAAATGGTTTAAAGGATATGCAGCATTCTCAACAAGGAACAAGATGTTGAGTAGATCATTCTCATACTGAGAGAAATAACATAGTTCCTGCTACCTTAAGATAAAGGGCAAGGAAGGAAATAGGATAGATAAAATGCCTATCTAATGTACTGTCAGCCATTTGATACATGAGCATTATTATAATAGAAACTTGAGTTTCTGAAACCTGCTAATATTACTGTGTATTTCTATAATTAGCTCTACTTTGTTTTCCATAATTAGTAAAGTCCATTTTGAAATATTAGCCAATCTCAGCAGTATTAAGAGAAATCAGGGAAATCGAGGCTTTAAAAAAGAAAAACTTATATTTAAGCCATCTTTAGAAGAGTATATTTAATTTGTGAAGGAGAATGTTTCTGCTAAAACTGACAGCATTTCTGAGGGTTGAGAATATATATGCCTTTTTTCACCTAGAGATTTTTCTTCCAGTTCTCTTTTTTATTCAAAACCTATAGGATTTTATTTTAACTATGGAAACCAGGTTATCAGTAAGGAGACTCAAAATGCTTCAAGAAAGAATTATGAAGACAATGTCCTGAATAACTTCTCACATCATTCTTTGTACAGAAACTCAAATGGTAAAAATTAAAAAGTTAGATTTTTCTTATTAGAGTGGGAAGAACAGGTGGGAATGCTTGTTCTATATATTTAAGAATAAGAGGTATACTGTTTAAGGATACTGGAAATGAAAGGATAAGAAATAATCAAAAGTATTCCAACACATGAAAAATGAAATACTCTGATGAAATTAAAACTCTCAAAATTGTTAAAAATAAATTCTAATTTTTTAAAAAAGGAGCAGAGTCATAAGAATCTGTAAATTAGATTAAATCAATAAAAAACAAAAAATGGGGGCTGGCCCAGTGGCGTAGTTATTATGTTCGCGCTCTGTGCTTCAGCAGCTTCGGGTATGCGGGTTCAGATCCCAGGCGCCAACCGAAGCACCACTCGTCAAGCTGTGCTGTGGTGGCATCCCATATAAAGCGGAGGAAGATGGGCATGTACGTTAACCCAGGGCCAATCTTCCTAAGCACAAAGAGGAAGATTAGCAACAGATGTTAGCTCAGGGCTAACCTTCCTTAGGAAAAGAAAAAAAAAAAATGAAGATGTGCTTCAGGAAAGAAAAAATATCTAAACAAGCTAATATTTTATTAATAATTCGAGATACTGGCTGATTATAAATGAGATAAAGCAAATAGGCAAAGCTCTAAATGATCTAAGTAAATTCCCAGATCTGTGATGAACTCATCTGATGATTCTGTCTAGGCAATCTTTTCCAAACATCACTACATAACAAGAAGAGTAACTGAAAACAGTAAAATGATTTTGAATAAAAGATGAGACCTAATGTTTAATTATAATCAAATTTTCAAGCACCCAGTATTTCAAAGTATGTTTTCCATAAACTAATTTTATGAGATACTCTCTAAAAAAAAAATAAAAAGGGGCGGGCCCAGTGGCGTAGCGGTTAAGTTCGAGCACTTCGCTTTAGCGGCCCCCGGGGTTCACAGGTTCGGATCCAGGGTGCGGACCAATGCACCACTTATCAAGCCATGCTGTGGTGGTGTTCCATATAAAGTAGAGGAAGATGGGCATGGATGTTAGCCCAGGGACAATCTTCGTCACCAAAAGGAGGAGGATTGGCAACAGATGTTAGCTCAGGGCTAATCTGGCGCGCGCGTGCGCACTCACGAGGGGGAGGGTCTACAGTCAATTGAGTTAGGTAACTGCTGCCTACTTTGGTATTTACATTGTATATTACGCCAAATCAAAGTCTCAGAGAAGTCCTGGAATAAAGAGTCTAACTGATGACTCAAGCACTGTCCACATTTATTTGACTCTGTAATATTTATTTTATTCCATGAAACACACTTTAGTAAACATTAAGATATTACAGTCTCCTTTTTTGTTTTATCTTGGGCAGTTTTAGTTAGAGGTTTGAAAGTGAAAAAAATTAAAATTTGTGGATCAAGTAACACTAGGATTATTAATAAATTACATTTAGGCAAACCATACCATTACTTCATTACCATAAGGGTAACACTGGTTCAAAGAGAAAAGAATGAAACATAAAGCCAAATTAAAAATGTACTAGCCAGGCTCCATCCTTCAAATTTTCTAACTCTTGGAAGCTCCACAATGATGATAAGCCTCCGCAGTGGTAAACTAAGCTTTCATGCTTTAAGCTTTTTCCTTTTTGCTGCTTCTGTGTGGAATGTTCTTCATTCAGATATCTAGCTGCATATTCAGGTATGAGCTCAAATGTCACATACTCAAAGTGGTCTTCCCTTGCCATCTTATCTAAACTTAGCCTCCCCACCCCCAACTTCATCAAACACACTACACTGTGTCAATTTCTTCACTGCACTTATTTGATTACCCTGCAACCCAGTATCTAGAATGGTGCTGGAATGCTTATCAATTGCTTGTTGAATGAATAACTAAGCACTATTTTTGCAAAGCAACTTTCCATTTGTTTTATATATACCATCAGGGTTAAATAAATGTAGCAGAAACAGGGACCAATATTAACATGTTTCTTCACTATTATCTGAGTTTGAAAAATTAACATAGTGCTTTGCAAATTTAATAATTTAAAAACAAGGGCAAGTTGGTTTTGTGTGTATGCAATATTATTTATTCAAACACATCAATAGTTCTTATCTGTAACTGAAGGAAAGCATATAATTTCACATTGTTTGGAGTAAATAAAAGTAAAAGCAATCCTGAAATCATCCTTTCAATATTAATAAAATAGAGATAGTCATATCTCTAGAAAATATCAAAACCTGTCTAAAGTTTTGAAAAAACTTCAACCTCGGGAATGAGTATGAGTTACTTCAGTTAAAATTCAGTAGATTAAACAGATTCAGAGATGGAAAACTATTCTAGAGTAACAGAGTAACTTTTTGAGAAGTTAAAAGACAAGTGAAAGAAATGAGGTGAATTCTAAATATTCAACTGCACAGGAAAAAGGGACTACTACAGCCTCCATTTCTTTATTCACTGATCTAGTTGTATAAACATATGTAAGATACAGTTCTTAGGTACTTATATACTGTTCATAGAGTTGAACAGCTACTGTAATAGGTAAACTAATGAAAAGATGGAGATGGGAGTTGGAGAAACATCTATTTTTTTGAAATTTTACACACTTTACAGCTATCTTTTATTGAGTGCTTACTAGACTCCAGGTATTGAATTATCTGCGATAAAAGGCAGAACTTGAATTCAAATCCTGGGTTCTAAGTCTAAATCCAGAGCATTTAACTAGTGGGATTGATTTTGAGATTGAATTACCCATAATGCAGTTTTAATCTCTTCACAGCGGCAGAAGTATGTAACATGCCAATTTCCGGTGTAAGACATCTACACAAAGAGCAATTAATCTACACAAAGAGCAATTAATCTATCTGCAACAGGGGTTCAAAATTTCCACCACATTATGCAAGTTCTCAGGCAACCCAAAATAACTTCTCTAGACATAGTCTTTAGACTCATGAGGCAATTTTAGCTCAGATAAAGGCGGGTTGGGGTTTTAGTTTTTTATTTTAATAAAAACTGCTCTGGTACTTGATTGCCACCTACCTGTCTCCTCATTTTCCCCACATAAAATTTCCAAGGTGATCTCTGAATAAGAAACATGAGAGCTTCCATTCTTACCAGACATACCATATTTTCCACGTACCAACAGCAACAAAACCAAAAACTTGATAGACAAAACAGGAAAGCTTTCTACACCAAAAATTTGCCTAGTATACAACACTTTTGCCTTGTCTACTATGAAATACTAGCCTCAGATTCTAAAATTCAGAGAAAAAAGAAATCTGATCATTAACATCTAATTATTTACAAAGCAGCCACCAATTCAAGTTACTGGTGTCTAATCACACTGCCATTCTTCTATATGGCATAAAATCCAGGTTTTAAACTTGCTTTATATATATTTTCAAAGCATTCTTTATGAATAGAAAAATCTTCATTAGGAATAACATATATATAATAAGTTAACTGGTTAACCCTCAGTTATTAAGTAGATTCCCATCAGGACTGGGCCTAGATCAGACACAATAAACGAAATACGCTTAAAAATATATTTGTTCCAGTTTTAAGAAGGATGCTGTGTATTTGAATTTAGCATCATGGAACACAGCCAATAACTATAAAAAAAATATAATGAAAAAGCAACTGGCCCAATATGATAGAGGCAATTTTAATAACCCAATCTGCAAAGCCAGAATAAAGTCTTTTGAAAAAACTGTTTAAAAAGAAAAAAGTGAACATTACCTTCCCTTCATAATCCAGATAAGCAGAAGACTACATTCAACACATATATCTGGTTTGCTAAAACTCTTTAAAGAGAAACAACCTAATGACCCCATTTACTTATTCACCAAGCTGAAATCTTAGAACACTTTTCTTTCCACATTCTTCAAACTGCATTTATAATTTGAGTCTCTACCAGCATCAAGATTTTGTCTAGACTTTACTCTGTATATTGTGTATCATTCCTCTCTGTTACTTTGCTAAAAAACTAAATAGCTTAAAAATCACAAGAAATTGACATCAAACAATCTGGTTTCCCATTATTAGGTTTCTAAATAATGCCAAAATGTTCTGATGGTCCACAACTCCCGTTATCTAAATAGGTTCTATCTACTTCAGTAATTCTTTACTAAACAAAAATCACTTTTACATGGGAACAATTTGAATTACCAGGCTGAAGCTTATTCTGTTTTTTATCAGATTATTAGATAATCAGTGTAACATACACGAGAGGTAAGAACGACCAAGTCTTACCTTTGTCGGTTGTTACTTTTTCTACGCATCTGAAAGAAATGAGAATCAAATATTAAATGAACAATCTTGCACATTTTCTTAAAACACAAATATTTATCTCTTTCATGTTCATCTCCAGTGATACAGAAAGCAGCTAGAGCAATGCTGTCCAACAGAACTCTCTGCAGTGATTAAAACACTCTGTATCTGCACTGTCCAACATGGTAGTTGCACATGGCTACTGAGTGCTTGAAACAGCTAGTGTTAACCGAGGACCTGAATTTTTAATTTACATTAATGTAAATTTAAATAATCACATGTAGCTATATGTCACAGCACACAATCAGAATATCATACAAAACAGTTGTTTTTAACTGTAAAAAGATACTAATACAAAGAAAATATTGCTAATTTTGTTACGTTAAGTAGTTATATAATACAATGTCCTTATTTTACGCAAATGCAGTAACTAAGGGTAAAATGAAATAATGTTTGAGATTTCCTCTAAAATATCTCTGCCAAAAGAAAAAGAGGGGGAAAGGGGATAGATGTAACAAGCATGGCAAAATCTCAATAACTGTTAAACCTTGGTGATAAATATTGGAGTTTCATTATACTATTTTCTCTACTTTGTGTATATTTGACAATTTTCATAATAAAAATTTAGTGAACCTAAAAGAAAACTCGAAAATTATTCTTTGTCAAACCCAAGTCAAAATCTATTTCTACAAAGGCAATAGACTGGACCTCAGAAATAAATATAACTTGCAACTTTACAAATTAGATAGCCACAGTAATGAGTTATAAACTACTGACTTAACAAAAAGTTATTCCCATGCTTTTAATTTGGGAAAATTTCTATCATACAAAACTGTTGTGTACAGTATAAGAATCCCCTTATAGCCATTAGCCAAATTCAAATGGCTGACATGCCTTGGATCTTTACCATAAAAATGCCACAGTATCTTGAGCAGTACCAAGTTTTCTCTTTTTCTGAAAGTAAACCTAATACAAATGAAGACTCTTATGTTACAAAAGAATATCCAAGCAAATACAGAAACCATAGCGTAATACAAATTCTGTTCTCTTTAGAAAGAATAGCTATGATTTTTTTCATTCCATATTTTTTTTAAAAGCTTGGTATTATAATTTTAAATTGTATTACCAGTGTGCCAATTAACAACACAAGATAACTGCTAATCATCCTAACTCTAAATGAAAAGTACAGAATAATTGCTAAATTTTGAAACATTATACAATAAATTTTCTGAAAACCTTTTAGAATGGTTCAATGTTTCTATTACCATATTGATCACTATAGGAAGAAAACAGGATTTTAGTCTTGTACAACCGAAGCCTTCTCCAAAGAATCAAAAGTTTTTTCAATTCAGAATATTACTGTCTCTTCATTCTCACTATCCATGACCCTCGCCTTTTCCTTACAAAAGGAAATAGCAAAAAAGTGTCACCCAAAGGTTTACTGCCATTTTACTTTTAGCAAGAAAATAAAACTAAAATAGAATTCCACATACCACAAAATAGAGCAATATTTGTTTCCTTCATTTGTAACCCATGGGAGCACCTCTGCATGCAACCCACAGGAGTACCTCTAAGAATACTCAGTTTTAGCCAATAGGGTTACTCAACAGCTAAATTAGAAGTTTAAAAAAGTATTTACTGAAGTTTTAAATTCTGAAATGCATCGTATAAACAGAGGACTTACTATCATAAGATAGAATGAAAAGCCTTTTGCATTTTAACCTAGTCTTAGTTTAACAATTAAATTGTCTGCATATTAGTAGAAAGCATAGATGTTTTAACTTATGAATCAGAAAAAAATTGATGGAATATATATAGATATATTTTTAAAATTAGATGAGCATATAAACACCTGCATCTGAAATATAAGTTTATTGGCTAAAATATGGCAAATGATGATGAGCCTAACTCTTATACAGTACTGATACATAACCTTTCTCCAAATTTGGCTTACCTTTCTTTACTATTAGCCCTTAAGTTTTAACTTATAATGATTCCAGTATTTAACTTTGTGCCTTTCTCCTGAGCAACTTCACTGAAAAATTTTTTATTTCCCTTCACAAAGATGTCCTGCTCTTTTCATTTAACTTCTGAACATTTCAATGCAAATGGAAAAGTTATTATAAGCTTAAGAAAAGTTTTAAAAACTGTAGCATAACTATCATCTAACTATAAAGAGCATTTCACAAATCATAAATTATCAGTTATAGATGAAGAAGCAGATTTAAAGAAGTTAAGTGACTTGCCCAAGGTCACTTAGTGAATAGAAAGCTGGGACCTGAAACTTTCTGACTAAAGTCCAATGCTTTTTCCACTATATTATTTTGCCTTCTAATCGGAAAAGAGATTTCAATCAATCCAAATCTTTATATTTATTGACCTTTTAAGCTATTGTACACTTTGTTGTCTCTTCAATCAAAAGAAACAAATGTAGGTTAAACACTTGATTACTGGGAATTTATAGGGGGAAATGTTGGGATATGGAAAAAGGACCTGACTAGAACAAGTAATTAACATAGAGATGAAATCTCTTACTTCCTTTTTAAATAACTGCCATAGCGTTATTTGGAAAATACCAGAGGTAAATCAAGGTCAGAAGGCACTTGACCAGGGTTCAGTAAACTGATACTCAAAACCCTGAAACGTGTGCAAGGATTAAATTAAAGTTTCCTACTTAGTTATTTTTAAAATTTATTTTATCACTGAAAACCTGTAAGCCATGCACACGTGTGGCAAATCTGCACTACTCAACCCATCTTCCTCTGATACTGCAAGGTCCTTGAAGATGAAGTTCATGGCTCATTTATCTTTATAAAGCCTAACTCAGCACAGTACCAGACCCAGTTACCGCTCAATCAAGGGTTATGGAACTGAAATGCTTTAGGACTCTGCAGGAAATTCAAAATGTGTAACAAAAAATTATTTTGATGAAAATGTATTTTAACGATCCAATCAAAACTGCATAATTTAAAATACCTAATCAACAGATAGTTCTGAGGCTAAGAGAAGGTAAAAGAATACCACCTTTTATGATGCTGGGTGAGAGAGGGGGGACACTGAGAACGAAGACAAGTCCTTCCTCCCCACAAGGAACATTGTGTAGAAAAAACTGAAGAGCAGGCAGGCCCAGTGGCATAGCAGTTAAGTTCCTACGCTCCACTTCGATGACCCAGGGTTCGCTGGTTTGGACCCTGGGCACGGACCTACTGACCGCTCATTAAGCCATACTGAGACGGTGTACCACACAGAAGAGCTACAACTCTACAATTATGAAATACAACTACGTACTGGGGCCTTTGGGGAGAAAAAAGAAAAAGAGGAAGACTGGCAACAGATGTTGGTGCAGGGCCAATCTTCCTCAAAAAAAAAAAAAAAACCCCGAAGAGACTGAATTGTCATCTTCATCCAAGTTTGACTGTTGTATTATTTATATCATGGAAGTAAAAAGGCTCATTAGTACTTTTTTTGCCAAGAGTTAGGGAAAAAATAAACCATGACAGCGGGTAAAACTACCACTCTAGGTATAATTATCTTAAGAGGTCATTTCTATAAGTAAAACTGGTGGAAAAGTGGGAGGGAAATGTGGCAAGGAGATATAGATATACGTAACTCTCAAAAGGGTAGGTGAGAAAGGAAGAGAATCTTAAAAAATTATAAAGTTATTAACCTTCCTATGCAAGGTAACAAAAAAAAAAAATCCAACTTTGCAGAATTTACATGAAAAACACCACTACACACCACTTATACCTCTATCATGCCACCACTACTCAAAACAATAACTTTTAATAAATATTTACTATGCACCAGACTTTGTGTTAAGTGCTTCACATGCTGTACTCAATTCTCACAAACACATCTTATAGGGATTAACATTATCTCACACATACAAGGAAACTGAGGCACTGACAGTTTAAGAAATTTCTTTTCAAATTTATGACATTAAACACAGAAGCTTCAAATTTTTATGACCATGAAATTCATCTACAGCAATTAGAATCCTAATTGTAACTGAACCATTTAGAAGTAGATTTTTGTTGTCCACACAACTGTAGTTTACACAATTCCCTAAATTATGTTAACATTCAAAAATTTGAAAGCACATCTAATATCACAATATGATACCTTTGAATTTTATTTCTCTGAGAGGCTTCTAAGGCAAGCATGCCAGGGTCACAGACTTAACTCAATTTCAGAACAGGTCGTTTCAAGTTTTAAATCTACTAGGTCTGATATAAGTTAAATCTTGGGGGGCGGGGGAGGGCACTTAAAACTGATCCCCCCTCCACCTTTTTTCTCTGCTTTCACTAATTTTTTTCACTTGAAAGTCAAAAGACACAAATTGACATTTCCAGTAATGAATTTAATGGCTAATGCGATTAGTTTCTAGAATTTCCAAACACGTGTGCTTCATTATTTTCAACACAAAAACATTATTTTAATAAACAAAATATTTATGTTCCTGGTTCCTCTATCTCTAGGTAAAAAAAGAATTCCTTTCAGATTAGTCTAATTTTTAAAAACGAAGTTTCTATATTAAAACATATGCAAAAATTAAAACTACCCACCTACTCTTGAAAGAATCTACACTTAAAACTGGCAGAACCACGTTTTTACCCTACTAGTAAGTACCAGATTTCTAAAACGAGTGAAAAATGATGTGAAAATGAGAAAACGCAAAAAGCTACATGAAAATACTAATACAACGGGCTCTTGGGCTAATTAATGGGAAGGAGGGAGACACACTTCGGAAGGCTAAGATCAAGCTGTTGATTTCCTAAAGGGGATGTGATGTAATACTAAAGAGCCGCCTTAAGAGGGAAAGGGATGGGCTGACAAAGGGAGCGCAGATGCCAGAGTGCGGGAGAAGGCTGCGGCAGCAAGGGAAGAGGTGGGTCACTAGGGAGTAGAAGAGGTGTATCCTGCAAAGGACGACTTCATGGGGTGGGGAGGTGGCCTGACAGGCAAAGGGCACGGGGGCGGGGGAGGGAGGGCCGGAGAAGAACGATAAGACAGCTAACCCGGAGCAGAGTGACATCTGGCCTGCAAGCCGGCAGGGGGCAGAGCAGGCAGGGTGTCACGTGGAGTGGGCGCTACGGGAGCCGAGAGGGTTGCGTACGGGCAGAGGGGGGTCTTTACCACCGCCTGAAAGACTGCGTTACTCACAGGAGTCGCGGACTCTTCTTGCCCTGAGCTGGAGATGGGGGCTTCGCGGCCTGGGACTGCTGCCCTGGGGCGTCGGCAGGCCTGGCGCTGGGGCTGCTCCTCCGCCGGCGGGGATACTCGGCCTTCCTCCGGCGGGACACAGCGGCGGCGGCGGCGGCCGCAGCGGCCCGGCCGCGGTCCCGGCCTCCCCTCAGCACGCGGCTGCTAGTGGTCCCCGCAGGCGCCGCCGCCGCCGCCTCAGGGGGCTGTTGCTGGGGCTCCTCCGGAGCCGCCTTGGCCGCCGCCGCCTCTCCCCCTTCCTGGTCCTGCTGCTCCGGGGGTCTCGGCTCTTCCGTCTCCCCCGGCATCGGGACTCTTCCGTCCCCCACCCCCTTGTCCCAGGCGGCGGAGGCGGAGGCGGAGGCGGCGGCAGCCGCGACGCTGCTCCCCCCGCCCCCCTTGCCTCCCGGAGCGTCCGGCTCACTCTCACTCTGCGCTCCTCTTTCCCCCCTCCCCTCCTCCCGGCTCCGAGGGCGCCCCCCCCCGTCCCCTGCCACTCAAAGCCCGCTACCGCTGGCGGCGCGCGCGCGCGCCCTCCACAGACGCTCAGCGGACCAATTGGAGAGGAAGAACGACTTCTTCGCCCCGCCCCTCACGGTCTCTCACGTAGCGGCGTACCGGGTTCCCTCCCCCACACCTTCCTTCAGCCAATCAGGAAACGGCTCCAAGGGAGCGCGCGAGGTTTCCTTCCCCGCGCACCCGTTCTCACCGTTAAACGGCTGCGTCTCGCGACAATCCCAAAGTCACCTTTTTTCCCTCCCTCAGAAGCTCAACGCGCGCTAGGGACACCGGGTGGGGCAGGTCTCGCGAAGAGGCTGGTGGGAAGAAAACGCACCTCTTTCCCCGCCTCGCGCGCACCCTGGGCTGGCTGCGCGCGCACCTGCGTCCCTAAGGAGCCGCTAATGCCACAAGGGCTCTATCCTTCTTCCTTAAGCCGCGGAAGTAGCCTTAGCGTTCTTCTGCCTCCACCCCGATCCCACTTTCCTGTCTGTGGCCTTTCTGTCCCCAGCGCCGCCAGGTCTTGCGGGGAGAAGGGGGAAATTTTTTGAGCTGTCGCTTTTCCTTTAAGAAAAAAAGCCCAGTCGGCTGCCGGATGAAAGTCTCTGAAAAAATGGCGGCGATAGAACAGAGGCGGGGTCGTGAGGGCAAGAACGACCCGCCCCTTGGCGCATGCGCATGGTTAGCTTGGCCAAAGGCATCCTGGGTGATGAAGTCCTATTTATCCTATGCCGTAGGAAAAAAGATAGGAAACCAGAGGCGGGGAGGATGTTGGGAGCTCTTGGCTGATGCAGGATGGGAAAGGTAGTTTACTCTTGGCGCAGTTTGAGTTGAACTTTTCCAGGGAGGCATTGTTTCCGGGTTAGGCCGCGACGCCTGCGCAGATCTGGGCAGCAGTGTTAAGCCAGTTGCTGGTCTGGTTTCCTTGGGAGGGTTCCCTCTGCTTTTTTACTTGGCTTTAGCGAAGCATTTCTAGGGTGGCCACGTAATAGCCCTTACCTTGGTTTGGTTAGACGGCACTTCCTTTGGGACCGGTTAGTGTTCCTGTCTGCAGTATTCGTCTCGTCATCCTGTGTTTGATCCACTAACCCGTGAGTCCCTGGAGGTCAGGGACTGCATCGGGTTCCGTCGGATCCTGGGGGCCTAGCACAATTCCCACCACTCATTTGATTCTTAATAAAAGTTAAGAAAGAATTGAGGAGTTGCCTTTTTACTAGACGTTGTCGGGGCCAAGGAGCTGGAATCGGCTGCTTGACTTGGCTGTGGTCCCTGAGCTAGAAGGAAGGGTGAAGGGTTGTTAGCGTGACTCGCGTGACCCTCATGCTCCCCACCCCGGAACCACCTGCTTCTGCGGTTTTTAAATGTTTCTACTGCACAGGAAGCAAGGTCAGAAGAGCAGCTTTGTCAGAAATTACTTTTCTGTCCACCGGCGTGTGCAAACGGGAGTTTCTGTTTGCTCAAATCCAAGTTGCATTTGGTGATGGCCGTGGGCCTCTCCCATTCCTTCCTTTCATCCATTATAATCGAGGATCAATTTGCAGGAATGATTCTTACCCCTTGAAAATAAAGCATCCGGGGTTAAAGCCCCAAAAGAAAGGGATGGAAACAAGATCTGAGGATCCAATTCTAAATTTCACATTAATCGCTCAGTTAAAGTTAAACTGCAGATGGAGTCCAATATTTGCAAGCCAGGTGCTGAAGTGCATTTTTCCTTCCGGTATTTTGGCTCAGTTACCACTTAAGATTAGGCAAATGTTTTATATTCTCTATTGAGTGTTTCACACTTTCATGGGGCTAATGGCATTTCTATTGTAAAAACTGGCATAGTGTGGATGGGAATTTTTTCAAACCCATCTTTGCAGTGAGCAGACTTTTGGAACGGCACTGACATCCAATGGCTGCTCAAAGTAATGCAGAGTGGGAATCTCCTTTCCACTAAAAAAAAAAAAAGTCTTAGTGTTAAAATGGAATAGAGAATAAATTTTTCCTTTAGATCAACCTAAAAAAGACTACTGTGTTGTAGAGGAAAGATTACAGACTTTGAAGTTAAATCGGGATTATAGTAAGTAGTGAAGCTACCTGCTAATTCTATTAATTTTAGCAGGTTTCTATTTCTTGAATTTGTTTCACCACTGGTAAAAAAATGTCGGGATAATATCTAGTTTGCAGGGCCATAATTATAGTTCTTTACATACTGCGTTCTCATAGTAGGCCTTTTGTAAATGTTTTACTTCATTCAGGCTGAATAAAATCATAGCAGTAAAAAAGTTGAAAGTTTACCTCAACGTCACTTTTCGGAGAAACTACTATAAGGCAATGTAATGAGACAGGAATTATGCTTAGTTTAAATGTCTGCAGTTTAGCACCCGGTGTCTTAAATCTTCCAGTTTCATTCATCATGACCCCTGTAGTTGTTTGCATTTTGGACCACTGAAATGAATCAGGCTCTGAGAATCCAAACGTGAATATGCCTCTGCCCTGCCTTTAATGGATCTACAGTCTATTCAGTAAATCAGGTAAGCATATCTTCTTGCTGCAAAATGAATTGGGTGCTGGTGACTCTCATAAAAATTTCATGAAGGGAGCTATGCCTCCATGGTGTCCCAGCTTCACAGAAAAAGAAATAAAAGCAGGTTCCCTGATGCACAGTCACAGTGGTATACCGATATTGGGAAAAAACACAAGTCCAAATCTGCCATTTCCATGAATTCAGGATGAATCCTGGCACATAATAGGTGTTCAAGTTTTTGAAAATTAAATTTGAATCTTTATCACCCTGGCCAGTGCACTACCAGAACTCAAATCCTGCTACCCACCTTTCTATGTCAGTCCCATTTTTAAAACTCTGACCTACAAAAAAAAAAAAAAAAAAAAAAAAAAAAACCTCACCAAATCAAAAGAGAGGAAGTGCTAAGCAAATACAGGAACCAAAAAGAGTTATAGAGGCTGCTTCACGCTGTCTCATTCAGTTCCTTTGTGGTCCTCTTCTCCAGCACATGCCAAAGCGTTTCCCCACAGCCTGTGCCACCAGAGCATCTTGGGTGTGTGACAATGGAAGAGTTGGGTGAGTGAGGAGCTTCTTGGAGGAGAGACTCTGAGGGAATGAAGTCTTGGCTGCCATCTCCATGTGTGGTGGGGTGTACTTGTAGCCAGATGGAGAGTAGTGCTGGAAGATTGTGTTCTCACTTCTCTCCTGACCTCAGCTCAACCAAGAGTGAAGCATGAGGAACTATGATTGTTTGGGGGAACTATGGGTTTACTGTTTTCAGTGGCACGATAGGCAGAGAATTTGGTGCTAACCATAGAGTAAACTCTGCACAAATACTTTTGGACTGAATTGTGATTGAAATTGTCATTTTGTTATGTGCATTTTGCCCTTTGGGGGCTACTGGAAATCATAGGATGGTCACACAGTTGGCAACTGCAGAGATGTGATTTGGAGAGAAAAAGAAAGAAAGAAAAGGGAGGGAGGTAAAGTGTTATGAGGCGAAATAGAAGTATAAGAATGTGGGATCGCAAAGTTTGGAGAAAGGCCGGGATCGTTTCATTTGTTCCACGGTTTAGCATTAAATCAAGAAGACATAGCACTATAACTCCAGTGGTTCTGTTGCTAAGGTTTTTATTCAAAGGAATTATGAAGGAATAGATTACTATGGCCTGTGAATATGATACCTCCTTCCACTCCAAAGCAATTAAAACCTAGCAGTGAAACTATTGGCCACGTTGCTCAGAGAAATCCCTTATTTCAAACCTTTGGAGTAATGTAAGATTTGTCATTCTTGGGACTCATTCCATATCCTTTGCCAACTTTTGTTGCCGGCATCCTTACTAACACTGAGTCACTCAACTTTACCCAGTTTCCAAGCGGTATTAATTCCACAGTGTTGTGGGTTTTTGTATGTTTGGGGTATGTCAAAAGTGCAAACAATGACAACAAAAACATCTCTTGCACATTGTCTTTTTTAAAAAAGTTTTGGAGTGTGATTTGAGAGCTGGGGAGGTAGAAGAACGAAGAAAGGCAAATTACGGGAGGGAAGAGATGTTAATGAAGATGAAAACATGGTGTTGAATAAATATTGAACTGTTTTGGAGGTAGTCTGTTTTGATACTTGGAGTAGAATATATTTTGGACTTGGGATAGAATCCAAATTCTTATCCTGTGTGAGGGTTAGGGAAATTCACATTTCTGCCTGAGTTCTGCTCAAGTCCAGCTCTGGTTTTTTATTTTAGGGATACATAATGGCTTTCATGAAATAAATTCAAATGGAAACTAATACTTATTCAGTGACTTAAGCTAAAATTAGACATTTTTACTTATGTTAATCATTTTAGTTTCTGAAGCAACCCTCTGAAATAGATATTATCCTCCTCTTTTTTTTTCAAATGAGAAGACTAAAAAAAATAAAATAACGTGTTCTCCATCACTTTCAGGAGCACCTGACACCAAAACTGATTAAGCTACAAGGCGTTCTCCTGTTTTAGAAGTGTGTTGGCTCTGGTGTTCCAGCCAGTAGAATAACCCAAATAATTAAAAAGTAAAAAAATAGATTTTCACAGTTTTGCTTTTTCTGATCAGGGTGAATGGTAGAGAAATCGGGTCCCGAAATGTAGAAAGTACCAAGCAGCCTGGAAAGTAACATTCCTGTACATTATCCAGGTGGCTAAACCTTAACCGCTTCTTCAAATTGTCATCAGTCCAATAGCTACCCAAAAGACTTAGGGTGGGGTTTCCCCCCTTGCGGAGAAATAGCATGGAGGACAGGTCGGCATGACAGGCCAATATTTCCTCTCTGCGATACTTCCTCCAAGATTGGTAGTTCGGACCCACCCAGAAGGCTTTATCTAAATACTCATTATATGGGAATGCTAGATATAGGGGAACCAGCAGCAGACTCTGGCTCTGAATGAAATTATTACAATCCAGTGAGACCCCTCAAGAGACCTCACTTTACCCCTTTCACGTTAACATTGATATTATTTGATTTCTACAGATGAAGGGCTATAGAGACGGACTATAGAGTTTTCAGTCTAATACCCTCCACCACCAGTAATCCCATATTTGTCATACTGAAATTAGTCATCTTCAAATTATGGAATCTGGCAAAAGGCAAAATAATCTTGGGGTGTTAGTGATATGTGCGTTCATTGGAAACAGGAAGAGAAAAGCCTGTTAACTCATGACCCAGAAGGGAGAGTTTCAGCAACTTTGGTTGGCGGGTGCTTCTGAAGGTAACCTTCTGCTCTTCGTGGGATGGTTTCCTCCTCTTACAGAGGGTCTCCTCCTCCCCTAATCTTTATTGTAAATGTCTTTTTTATTTTGAATCTAAGAGGATTTATGACTTCTAGTTGGAGCAAAGCTTAGAAAATAGAAAATAAAGGGGCTATATCTTAGTAGAAGGATACAGAATAAAAATTTGGAAATCAGGAATTTGGAATTCAGTCTGGCTAGCAAAGTCCTGAGAAAAAACTTTTACTTTCTCTTTCTACCTTAGTTTTATTTTTCTTTTCTTTTCTCTTCTTTTTAAAAACTTTTTATTAGAGAGAATTTAAAAATATACAAAAGTAAAGAAAATAGTTTAATGAAATCTGATGTACCCATCAACTAGCTTAAATAGTCATCAGCTCTTGGCCAATCTTATTTCTTTTATACACCCATCCATTCCTTCCACTCTTGGATTATTATAAAGCAATTTCAGACATTATATCATTTCATCTGTAAATGTTTCAGCATAACCTCTAAAATACATATACATATATATACATATACAAGAAGCCATAATACCGTTATCACTCACAAAGTCCTTAACAGTAATTCCTTAATTTCATGAAATACCATATTCACACCTAAAATGTTAACAGAAAATTACTTAATATTATCAAATATCCTTATCAAGCCTAAAATAAATTGACGGTATTCACCTAATGTTGTTGCATATCCAGTCACTGTTTAATATTCCTGATTGTTTCTTTTTGCTTATTTAGGATTCACATGCTGAAATTAGTTATGTCTCTCAAGTTTCTTTTACTCTGTGGATTCCCCCTCCATCTCTTCTGTTTCTATTACAGTTTATTTGCTGAAGGGTAACTTGACCTGAGGAGTTTAGCTCAGTTTGCTTATCTCTGAAATGGTACCTAAAATTCAATATTTTTGTGAGATGATTGATTGAGAAAGATCTGTAGAAAATTTCAATTGTAAGAAATGATTAGCTCTTTTCTTATGCCATTGGGAAACACCCTAATATCAAATACATGAAAAGTTGTTTTTTTAACGACCTGTAAAGTTCATTTTCCTCATCTGAGAACTTCAGAGCTAGGCAGATGCTTAGAAATAATATCATCCGGTGTTTTGCAAACTGTTTAAAAACTGTAACCTGTGGTAAGAAATCCACTACAGATCCACTAATTTGAAAATAGTGTTGTAATACAATTGCTTCATTATGTAGATGAGGAAATGGCTTCAGAGAAGAACATGTCATGCCTGATGACCCAGAGAGTCCACATGGGAATGGGAACTAGAATTTTAGACTTGAAGTTAGTGCAGGGGCTAGGGATCAGATAGCCCAGAATCAGACAGCCAGGTTCTGCACTGAGTAGCAGTGTGACCTTAAACAAGTTATTTTTTTCTTTCTTGATCTACAAAATAAGGACAATAATATCACCTGCCTCAAAGCATTAGAATGACTAAATGAATTATATAAACTCCTGAGCACGGTGCCTGTCATGTGTTAATTTTTATTAATTATTATTTTCATTATAACAGTTGAATGTGTGATACTTGTAAGGTCCATTGATTTTTCCCAAGAAAACTACAAGAGAAACAAATCTCAACTATTTGGATAGCAACAGCTTGCTTGATTTTGCAATATCTGTTTTCTCCCCGATCCCTTTTTTTCGCCACACCCTAAAAAACAGAATAATTACACGTACTTTGTTTTGAGAATTTTCTTATGTGCTTGGGATATAAGAAAAAAAGTCATCAGGGTTAAGAATAAGGGTTACTGTCCTAGTATGTTTTGAAAAACTGTAATATAATTGCTTATATTTTTCCAGAAGGAAAAATATGTAGGATTTACTTTTTACTAATTGGAGATGTCAATGAATGATAAAAATTAATACCCTGCAATTTAAAAAGTCAAATTATAGAGCAAGACCATGAAATTGAATGCCATTATAGGAAATAAGAAATAAGATACAGTGTGGTGGAGGCATTAAACATGTTCTGGTAGAATAGACCACATTCTTGAAGTGAAATCAAGAGTAAGAGATGATGTTTGAAAATAGCCTTAACCAAAGAGAAGAGGGAGATGGATGGAGGCACAGTGGAGATAGTAAGAGGATAATTATTCCAGAAGACTTACATATTCTATATTATGATTCTCTTGTGTCTTTTGATATAGATGCCTTATTGGAGGAACTGGAACGTTCCACCCTCCAGGATAGTGATGAATACTCCACCCCAGCTCCTCTTCCCCTGGATCAGTATTCCAGAAAGGAGAGTAACCTTGCTGAGACTTCAAAGATCCTTTCTGTTCAGGATGACACAAGTCCCTTGACGGTAACTTTTCCTTTACTGGAGTACCTTGAATATAGATGTTTGAGTGCATTTCTGAAAATTAATTGTATCTCACATAAAATGACGTGAAAGGAGAATCATATATCCAAGAAAGAGAAAAAAAAAATCCTTCAATGATAACTTAAAAGCGGTTGTTTTTAGAAAAAGGAGGAGATTGGAGAGAATCGTTATAGAAGAATAAGCCTTTGAGAAATGAATTTTTTTCTGGTGAGGGCATGTAACAGAGACTATTCCGTAATTCACTTAGAATATCCTGATATATCTGTCTGGGCATTAGAGATGCATGTTGCAGTTTGACTGGAATAGCACTCAGTAAGGCCAGAAATCACCTGCAAGTCCCTGTGGGAGCTCAGACAAGTCTTCTTAGGGTGACTTTTTAGGGTCACCACTTCCTAAGTCTTACTTTCTGCTGTATATATTAGAAAATTCAATTATTAGTATACCCAGAGATGATGAAGCTTGAGGGAACCAACACAAACAAACATCTCATAAGAGATAATGTATAAAAAAACTCAGAAATTCAATTTATTAATTTCTAGTTAGAGTTAAAACTATCATATAGAACAGATATTAGCATTTGCTGATATATATATTCCCTTCCTATAGATAAGTTTACATGCATTTAGTTTATAATTAGAAAGTTGTTTGATGAGAGTAGAATTAGTATAAGAGGAATTAAGCAGATACTCTTTAGATCATGTGTTTTTGAACTGTGAAATTCTGATTCATCCATGAATCATCCATGAATCATCCATGAACCATTTCACTACATGAAATCACCAGTAGCACAGACCCTAAATTTGAGCCCAAGGGTAGAGTCCGCCTTTAACTTTTCTTCCCTCCAGCTATATACATACAGTTTTAAGGATGCACATTTGTATCTCTGCTAGGGAGCTATTGTCTGTTTTCACTGCTAGATTGTAGCCAGTCACTCCTAACTGGTCTATTACTCTGCTGCCCTGCAATTTATTCTCCAAATAGAAGCCAGGATGATCCTGTAAAACTTAAATCAGATCATATCATTCTTCTTCTCAAAACCCTGCAATGAATTTGCATCTCATTTGGAGTAAAAGCCATGGTCTTGACAGTGACTTTGTGCGGCGACCATATATCTTGGTTCACTTGGAAGAGCCCTGGGTTTATGCTTGTTTTCTTGACATTCCATTATTGGCTTTACCTTTTACCCCACATTTTCCATTATTTATGAAGTTTTGTTATTACTATTTGAGTTAAAGTAAACCAGCATGGGGCCAGCTCCGTGGCTTAGCGGTTAAGTACATGCGCTCCGCTCCTGGCAACCCGGGTTCGGATCCCGGGCGCGCACCGACACATCACTTCTCCAGCCATGCTGAGGACGCGTCCCACATACAGCAACTAGAAGGATGTGCAACTACGACATACAACTATCTACTGGGGCTTTGAGGAGAAAAAAAAAAGAGGAGGATTGGCAGTAGATGTTAGCTCACAGCCGGTCTTCCTCAGCAAAAAGAGGAGGATTAGCATAGATGTTAGCTCAGGGCTGATCTTCCTCACACACACACACAAAAAAAAATTAGTAAACCAGCATGGGTTAATAGACCTCCATTCGGTTCTTCTGGTTTCTTTCACGGTCTCATCTAGTAGCATATAAAACACACAGGCAGTGAACAGAGTTCGTGTTTTCATGTAGCTAAATCCAAAAGGTGACTGATGATAACTTGTCTCTAGTTTTCTGATCCCGTTTAGACAAAACCTAACTGACGGCACCCTTTCAAGGATAATATTCAGAGTGCTGGCTGTGAAGGCTAAGAGCTCAATCACAGCAGTCAGGGATAGCTAACTCCTCTGGTCTTAGGTGGTGGCAGAGAAAATTTTGAGGCTTTTTCCCTGCTGGCCACTTGGTATACCTCCGCTCATGCCTTGCTATGATCCATGTGGTGGCCTGTGAGATGCGTGGAACCTTCTCGGGGTCAGAAAGAAATAATGGGAAATTGTGGCTTAATGTTATACAACTTAATGTTTAGGAAATAGAGGCTAAGCATTCTTGCCATAGAGTGTGGTATAATCTAAATGTTCTTGTTAAAGCATTTTTGTCATTAATTGTATGTGTAACTATTTATTGTTTAGTGATTCTTTTTAATTTTGGAATAAATGCGTATAACAGAATTAGGCTCAAACCAAAACCAAAACCGCATGTTTAATTTTCTCAATAAAGTTGATGACAATTGTGTAGTTTGCACAAAATATTTTTTAACATTTGTCATCCATCATGGGGGCAAATAGAAATATCACTGTTTCTTTGAAAGCCGGAAGACACAAATAGGGTGAAGAAGCATTATTAGCATCTACTTCAAAAGTTAATATTTACAACGAATGTGCCTGAGAATGACAGTTCAACATGTGCAGCTGCAGGAGGTGTGTTTATATGTCATTGTGAAGCACATCTTTCAGTTTATACCAAATGACTCTTTTAAATCAATTTTGTTCATTTTCAATTTCCAGTTTTCTTGTGCTTGTAAGTAAAGTGAGCTGCTGATGATTAATGAGTTGATTCCTTTTGCAAACCATCAAATGTCAGATTGATATGAGGCCTCAATTAGAGAATTTTTTAATTCCAAAATGGTTTAATTTTTTCATCTAATTCAAGGGATCAAAAAAAGTTTTAGAAGTTCATTCTTCTATCAAAAATGAAACATTTGACATTGTTAATGCCTTTATAAATTTAGTCGAAATGTTCAACAATGAAGATAAAATGTTGTTTTTTGAGGGTGATAATGTGAGTACAGATTTCGATGGAGCACAGTGTTGTGGTAAAAACAATGTTCTTACATACTTAAAAACCTATGGAGTGGAAATATACTTCGAATTGGTTATGATGTGTACAAAATTCATGACTGCGTCCAAACAGGTTGCAATATTCCACCAATCAAAATAGAAACTAAAATTGTCAAAATTTGCAAATATTATGTATATATAGACATATACACATATATATTATATATATGTATACACACATAATCAGATATAACTCATCTACAAAACTTTTGTAACGGAAGCTCATGTTGAATCCAAAAATATTTCAGCATGGCTGCATATATTTTCTCTTTGTATTACCTCTCATCAATTGGATTTTAGAAAAGCCTGAGCATTTGAAAAATCATTTTGTATAGCAACCTAAATTTAGGTCGCATTATGTGCAAAATCAGTTAGAAATGTTTAATCAAATTATTCGATGAGTGAAGCATGAAAACTCAGCTTTTGAAGCTTTTAGCAAGTTGCAATTATGTGAAACAAAGCTTGTAAAAAGGAAGAAGCTCAAATTTCTCCCCACAAAAGCTGGGGAGGAATTGAACAAATCAAAAGATGAGAGCTCAAAAGGTTTAATTACCTAATTTGAAAATTGTGCTTTGGAAAAATCTTGACTTTGACAGAGCTCCTAATTTTAATTGGATAAATTTGTATTCCGCGTAAGAATGGAATGAAATTGTGAAGGCCTATGATTTTGCGGTATCTACGTTTGATGAAATCTTAGAAAGGATCATGAATAGAGACAGTTTAAGAGCTCTGTCTTGTAATAATATTATTGAAGAAAAGTGCTCTGAATGGAGACAGAAATAGAGCCCTTGAGAAAATATTGGGGATAAATATAAAAAAATAGAATTAAGAATATCCTTCCTTTAGCAGAATTTGCTCTGAACTTATAGGTTCATCAACACTAGAGAGGGAGTATTTTCTCAATTAAAAATATTATGCTCAGGGCTAGCCAGGTAGCATAGTGTTTAAGTTTGCATGCTCCGCTTTGGCAGCCCAGGGTTCTCAGGTTCAGATCCTGTATGTGGACCTACGCACCCTTTATCAAGCCATTCTGTGGCAGGTGTCCCACGTAAAATAGAGGAAGATGGGCACGGATGTTAGCTCAGTGCCAAGCTTCCTCAGCAAAAAGAGCAGGGTTGGCAATGGATGTTAACTCAGGGCTAATCTTCCTCACCAGAAAAAAAAAATATATATATATATACTTTACAGAGAAGCATCAGTTAAAAGTGTCAACAATTTCAAATGTATTAACCATAAAATGCAGCTTTGAAGAGCACAATTTAGTAAAAAATATGGAAATAAATAAGACCATATTGAAAAAGACATTTTTCAGAAAAATTTCCATGTCACAATATTAGAGACAACAAAATGGCTAAGTAACCAATTAAGGTATATAATTATTGTGTTATTTGTAAATGTTCCAATAATCAATATAAAAGATTTTTAAAAAATATTTTGCTTTAATGTTCATAGCTATAAATCATTTAAAATATTCTAGAACATTCTATTGTGAAAATAAGTTTCAAATAGAATTATTTTATAGGTACACCAATATAATAAAATCAAAATTTTGGTCAATAAATACATATTTAAAAAATTACATAATATTGATTTTTTTAGTACCCTCTTTACTCTCAGAAGTGTCCCAGTTGGAACAATAAATTATATGGTCACCCTACCTGCGTGATCTGGCCCCTTTTCCTCTTTGCCCCTGTCTCACTGGTTCACTCTGCTCAGGACACACTGGCTTCCTTTCTATTCCAATGATGCTCCAGAGTTCCTTACCCTGCTGTTCTTTCTACCTGTACCATGTTACTCCTGATATCTACATACTTTCCTCACCTTACCAGCCCTTGGTGAGTCCTTCCCTGATCAAGATATTTATAATTGCCATCTCTCCCCCATTTCCTATTTCCTACACCCTGATTAGTTCTACGTATTAATTAAGTTATTTTTTTACATATTAATTTATTATCTTGTTCTCACCACTACAACGTTAAGTCCAGAGTAAACAATTTTTGTTCATTTGTTTCATTTTGTTTTTTTGACTGCTACGTCCCCAGCCCTGGCACATGACAGGCACTCAGTAAATGTTTGTTCATTAAATAAATGAACTGCTGGCCAACTACTCTTTAGAGTCACACATTATTTCTTTTGATATGTTAAATTTAATCCTGGTATAATCTTCCCCTAGACACCAGCCTGTCTAGTTAAAGGAGCTTTGCTCTGACTCATTTTGTTTATTTCTTATCTGGGTACCATGACTTCTCTATTTGAGTGCTTTTAGGGTGGGGGGGGAGTGGGGGGGCCGGGCCGGGGGTGGGGAGCTTGCTATTATTTGTTCACATGCTAGCTACTCTGCCTAGAACTTGGCCTTTCTCTGTGGGATGGCTGGTGTTTCTCTGCTTTGTGAAAGGAGATCTCAGAGATATGCTAGTTATCGGTCCCCTTTAGAAGCTAAAAACATCCTCTAACCCTGGGTATAGCTAAAGGCCAACATTCTAAGAACTGAAATTCATTCTTTGCTTTTCTCTGTCACTTATGTCTTAGGTGCAGCTTGTGTATACTACCAATATCCAGGAGCCCAATGTCTACAGGTATTTTTTTTATTAAATTCTTAAAAAAATTAAAGTTATAAGGTAATTGTTATCTGTCTGTGTTTGGACAATAATTTGCTTTGCAAGTGTTTATTATTAGAACTCCTCCTACTCTCCTCCTCTTTCCATAGTCTTTGAGCAGAGGTGGAATTCTGCCAGGCTGACTTGGCAGTTTTTCAAGGTGCCTGGCTTCTAGATGAGTGTCCAGGCTGGTGGGCTCTGCTATTACCTTCACCACCTGAAAAAGCATAAATGGTCCGAGTCACTACAGATGTTTTGGCTCAGCTATTCCAGATATCATGCTCCAGTTCACAAAAGAGAAAAGACCTAAAGAAATTTCAGCAAGTTGCCAACAAAATCAGAGCTAGAATCAGGGCTAAGCTAAGACAGTGGGTCTCCAAGGCAGGCTAATGAATATATACTTCTTCTTTCTATATTTACTCAAAATTTATCTAGTGAGTGGAGGAATTTCCTTTTAATAAAAGTCATATTGACACAGATCCACGTACTAAATCATTTCTACTGACCAAAGCAGAATTGACTATCTGAAAAAAATCAAAAGGCTACTTTTCTTGTTCTCTCTTGAGTTATAGCTTGCAATTTTAAAAATCAGACTTCTGCAAAACACATTAAAGGGTTTAAAATATGGATAAAAAGGCTCATGCTTGGTAAAGGGTACAACACCACACCTAATTTGGTTTCAGAATTGCAGCCAGTTGCTGTGCACACACACCACCAAAATAAGGGAAAGACCTGTGCTGTCAAGAAGTCTTTTTATAACTTCCCACTTTTTATAACTTCCCACTTATTGAGTGTCTACACTATGCCAGACACTCTGTAAAGCATTCTACACTTGTCCTCTTTAAATCCTCATAACCTTAAGAGCTAGGTATTGTCAACCCCAGATGAAAAAAATGGGGCTTAGAGAAGTTAAAAATGTTGCTCTACATAATACAGCTGGTAAATAACAGAGTTATTCTTTATCACCATGCTAAACTATCTTCCAAAGTGATGTTTAATGGCTACATCAATTTCAAATGTATAATGTACCATAATTTATTAAACCAATCATTTATTCTCAGACACCTAGACTTTTTCTGATTTTTGCTGTTATGATAAATACTGCTAAATAAATATTTGCACTCATATTTGATTATTTCCATAAAGCTTCTTAGCTTTCCCATCACCTGTGTAATCAAATTTCTGGATTAAATTCCTTCTGTTTACTCCCAGTGTTTGTATTTTCCTGAGTGGACCTTGACCAACACACTTCCCATTACTGAATGATCCTTGCTGTGTAGGTCTGTTTGGGAGAGTGATATGAAATTCAGGTGACCCAGTAGATATGTAATAGACTGATACAAATCCCCGAGACTGGTATAATTCAGAGCCCACAAGGCTGGCATGTACAGATAGAGCATGAGACTCAGAAACTAGATTCCTGCATTCTGTTTCCACCATTTTCTGTGGCTTGCTTGAGTGAACCGAACATTGCTTTCAACCTTGAAAGGATATTCAATATGAGTTGTGAATATAGCAATGTAATAATATTTCTAAAATAGTTATATATCAATAGCAATATAAACGATAATTTTGAAATATGTCTTTTACATAAACAAAAATAATTTCAGTAAGAATACAGAGAAATAATTCACAAAAATTTTACAGAGGAATGAATGGAGAAAAAAATCCACCACAATGAAGCCCTTCACTTGAGAAGTCTGGATTCTTTTAAATGCATCTCTTGTGATTTGTATTATTAAAATCTCTGAGTCACGAAGTAAGTTGTGGTTGAGGGCATAGAAAAACTATCATCTTCAAAAGTTCAGGGGACAAATCAAAGGAGCTATGACTTGAAGTTCCTCTCTTTTCAGGAACGTTTCCTGTAGTGATGTAATCATCAATTCTTCGAGGTCTCTCATTTCTTGTTTAGAGTGTCATATTGTCAACTCAATTACTGTTAAGGTATCGTGACAATAATCTATTTCTCTTTATACACTGCACCAGGAGTTTAGTTAGAAACCAGGGAGAATTCTTTGAATAAACACAAGTATGCCTCAGCTGTGAGATGGACAGGATTATACAGACCCAAACAAGAAACGTTTTTTCTGCGCTGAGGCACAGGGCAGAAGAATGTGCTCACAGTGCAGCTGCCTTTTGTACTTGTAAGACACATACCTGTGGCAACAATTACTAAAGGATTATGACTGTAAAGAGTTGTGAAGGAGAGCTCCTCTGCACTTTCTTGGGAACCTCCAAGGACTTACTCAGTCACTTGCATACTTGACCATTTTTGTTCCCAGATTAAAAAGAAAAAAAAAAAATTTTACATCTGGCAGGAGGCCATGTTGTACCTAAAAGACAAAGTCTTTAAGAGAGGAAGATATCCACTTTCCTCCTACATTTTTCCTGGTTGATAAATACATAAAAATAAGTAAAGTAGTATGTTTATGTTTTTGATTTTAAAAATACTTTTAGTGAAAGACTTAGAATATTTGGTTTTATTTATGGCATGGTGTGTGTGTGTGTGTGTGTGTGTGTGTGTGTGTGTGAGATAGAGAGAGAGGGAGAGAGAGAGAGTCAAAGTCAATGTCAGTTTGGTGGGTTGTTAGCTAAGCTCTCTTGGTTAATGTTGGTTACAAACTTACTCCAGAGTTATTTACCTGTGTATGATCCAGTGATTCTACTTCTTAAAATTTACTCTATGGAAATAATCAAATATGAGTGCAAATATTTATTTAGCAGTATTTATTATAACAGCAAAAATCAGAAAAAGTCTAGGTGTCTGAGAATAAATGATTGGTTTAATAAATTATGGTACATTATACATTTGAAATTGATGTAGCCATTAAACATCACTTTGGAAGATAGTTTAGCATGGTGATAAAGAATAACTCTGTTATTTACCAGCTGTATTATGTAGAGCAACATTTTTAACTTCTCTAAGCCCCATTTTTTTCATCTGGGGTTGACAATACCTAGCTCTTTAGGTTATGAGGATTTAAAGAGGACAAGTGTAGAATGCTTTACAGAGTGTCTGGCATAGTGTAGACACTTAATAAATGCTACCTATTGTGGTTGCAAAGGATGGATAAGGATATGCATAAAGATATGAAAAAACGTTCACTTTAAGACATGAAAAAAATCATCCTAGTTTTCTAAAATTATACACAATCTGAGAAGAGTGTACTGATATAAGCCAACATGTCCAGACTGATTAATTGCCTCTCAAAAGGGGGATTATATGTGGTTTAAATTTTTCTTTATATTTCTCTGCAGTTTAAAATTTTTCTACACTTATATTAGTTTTATATTTAAAAATAATTTTAATAAGAACCACAACACTTTGACTATATTAGTGTAGTTTACTAAAGATTGTTTATAGAGTCATCGTGTATGAATACGTGCGTGTTTATACATGAGGATTGAACTACTGATGGATGCCCCATATGCCACCCCTACCATCTCATCTGTTGGCCATGTACATTAGCTCTTTTTCTAGTATAGATGACCTTTGTTTTAAAAATATAACTTTAATATACAATTATTTTATAAACTCATGTATATAAAAAAGTCAAAGAAGTACCCTCTGTTCAGTATTGCTGTGAAGCTAAAACTGCTCTAAAAATAGTGTTAAAAGACAAGTTAAAGAATTCAGATTATATAGACTCGAATTCCTCTCACCACCTATTTGCCAGCTCCAAAGATAACTGTTGTGAGGTATGTCTCCTTACAGATCTTTGTGTATGCATATTCACACTTATGTATATGTGCTTATATATTTACATAAATTGAAGGATATTTTTCATATTGTAGTGGGCTTTGCTTTTTTAAGTTAACAATGTATCCTAGAAGTCTTCCTTAATTCCTATAACTCTATATCTGCATTCATTTTAGCAGTTTCGTGGTATTCTATAGCATGGAGGAACCCAAATTTATTTGACTATGTCTCCATTTATTTTATTTTTAATTTGTTCATGAGAACTGTACTGTTTTTATGTTTTAAGGAACATCCTTGTACATATATCTTTATAGATATGTCCCATTTTTCTGTAGGATAGAGTCTTGAAAGTGAAATTGCTGAATCCAAGGATATATATGTTTGAAATATTGATAGATGCAGCCTTGCGAAGGATTTTATAAATTTACATAGCTACCCATGGTGTATGTAAACGTATATGTGTATGTATAATCCTGACTTTAGCCAACACTGCATATTGTCAGTCTTTCAAAATTTTGACTAATGGGTAAAAATTGGTATCTCACTGTTTAATTTGCATATTAAAGATTGAGATTGAGCGTGTTTTTATATAGTAATAAACATTCAAATTTCTTTTTCTGAAACTGTTTTTTTTTTTTAAATCCTTAGCTCAGGTTTCTGTTGGGTTGTCTTTTTATTATTGATATATTTATTATTGGTATATAGACTTTTTAATATTTGAATATTATATTTATATTCTAAATATTTATTTATGTTTAAATTTTTTAAGATTAGCTCTATTGATATTTTTTTCTTTTTTGACTTCATTTTAGAGTTTTATACCTTTCTTAGGAAAGTCTTCATCACCCCAAAGTATAAAAAATATCCTCCATTTCCTTCTAGAATTTTTATGTTTAAAAATATTTATATCTTTAATTCATTTAAAACTTATTCATGTGTATTGTGTTATGGATCTAAATTTATTGCGTTCCAAATAGGTTGTCACACATTTTGAGTCAAATAGTCTGTTTCTGATCATTTGAAATGCCACAGTTACTGTATGCAAAGTACTCATAGGTATAGTAGTCTGTTTCTGGGTTCTCTGTTCTACTCCTTTGATCTATTTGTCTGTTTCTTTGCCAACATCACATAAATTTAATTATTGTAACTTTATAGGAGAGCATGTCTATTGGGACACATCTTCTCTCTTCATCTTTTTTTTTTCTTCAAAATTGTCTTTAGTGTTCTAGATCATGAATTTGAGCATCAGCTTGTTAATTAACTTGAATAATTCTATTAGAGTTTTTATATGTTACATTGAATGTATAGTTTAATTGGGTGAAACTGACATTATATTATGCATCTTTATTTCTGTGGGTCTTTTTTTACTTCTGCCAGTGTTTTTTCTACATAGAAGTCTTACGCATCTCTTATTAGATTTATTCTGTAATAGTTTATAATTTTTTTGTTGGTATTGTGAACACGTTCTTTTTTTCCCATTTAGTTTTCAGATTGGTTACTGCTGGTATATAGAAAAGATACCAATTATTTCATTTTATTCTTGTATCTAATAACCATCCTGATATTTTCTCTTCATTCTGATAGTTGTTAGATCATTTACCTTACATTTTCTAGGTAAATGATCATACCATCTATTTAAAAAGAAATAGAAGTGAAAGTGCTTTGCTTTTTTCTTTCAAATATATAAATCTCTTATTTTTACTTTTTAATGCATTTGATAATGCATTCTAGAATAATATTGAAGACCAGCAATGATAGTAGGATCTTTGTCCTCTTCTCTTAATTAGAAATGTGTTTATTATTTCACTATTAAATATGAGGCTCGTTATAGATTTCTTATAGACATATTTTATCAGGTTATGGAATTTTTATTCTTTTCCTTGATCTTCAACAACAGGAAGAGTGGCTGAATTTATTTTCATTGCTTTTCAGCATCTACGAATATGTTTATAAAACCTTTCTCTTATTTGTTAGTATAGTGAATTATATAAATCCTTTTCCTAAAGTTGAACCGTCTTTGGATGACTGGTATAGACACTACCTAGCCATGATGTTTTTTAAACACATTTCTGCTATTTTTATTTAAGCTTCTCTCTCTCTCTCCCCTTCTGTCTCTCCCTCTCCTTAGTCTGTCTTTCTGTCTGTTTCTCTCTCTCTCTCTCTCTCACACTCACACATACACGCTATTTTCTCTTTGTCTGGTTTTAGTATCAAGTTTCTGCAATATTCATAGAACTTATTGGGTGATTTTCCATATTTTTCTATGTACCTGAAAATTTATACAATGCTTCCAAATAACTATCAGTTTTTTGTTTTTTTTTTTCTGTTTCATTAATTTATGTTTTTACTCCTGTTTAATTATTCTCGTTTTTTTTTTTTTTTAATTTTCAGACTCTTGAGTTGAGTATTTTTTTTATTTGTTTCTGGGCTTTCTTTTTTTTTAAGGAGGATCAGCCCTGAGCTAACATCCATGCCAATCCTCCTCCTTTTGCTGAGGAAGACCGACCCTGAGCTAACATCTATTGCCAATCCTCCTCCTTTTTTTCCCCTTTTGCTCCCCAAAGCCCCAGTAGATAGTTCTATGTCATAGTTGCACATCCTTCTAGTTGCTGTATGTGGGACGTGGCTTCAGCATGGCCGGAGAAGCGGTGCGCTGGTGTGCGCCCAGGATCTGAACCCAGGCCACCAGCAGCAGAGCACGTGCACTTAACCGCTAAGCCACGGGGCCGGCCCCTCTGGGCTTTCTTATTTTTCAATTTTTCAATATTGCACATAAGTCTATTTATGTATTTTCCTTTCAGTAACATTTTGCTTTCAACTCCAATGATGGTATGTGTATGTGTGTGTGCTCTCGTTGCTATTTCTAAGTAGTTTGAAAATTCGGTTTGTTTTCTTCTTCATCCCAAGCATTAATTAGAAGTATTTTATTTTCCCTTAAGTGAATAGATCCTTTTTATGGTTAATTTGTACTTTCATTCACTGAAATCTAAGAATATGGTCTGTATGGTTACTTCTTAGAATTTATTGAGCTTTATTTCATGTCCTCATACATGGTTAATTTTACTAATGATTGTGCAAGCACTTGAATAGAATCTATTTTGTTTCTTGGGTCCAAAATTTTATTGATCAATAATTTATTCAAAATTATATGGATGTGAAACCAACATCATATACATTATGCAAACTCTATCAGGGGTCTGCGAACTTTTTCTGTAAAGGGGAGATGATAAATGTTTTAGGCTTTGTAGACCATAAGGTCTCTGTCACAACTATCCAACTCTGTAGGAAAGCAGGTGTAGACAGTGTGTAAATGAATGGACATGGCCAAATTTTGCCCTTGGACCTTAGTTTGCTGATGCCTGTTCTATATTCTGATTTATTTTTTGTCCTTTGCCTGACAATTACTGAAAGAAGATATAATACTTTATAATTTAAAAAAAAGAGTGCTATTACAATAAAAAATGCACATTGAGCCATGGCCTTAAATCTCTTTTCAGAGGCTGCTTTGTGCCTGGTTGTTGGGAGAGAATGGCTGACCAGTTTCATGTACAGCAGTTTTCTTCATGCACTTGAGAACAATAGTCAGTTTATGAGATGACCAGACGGAGACATGGAGACAAAAGGCGGGGAAATCTTGTTCAGATTTTTAGTCTAGTACCTATTTTTTAAAATATGTCCTCTCTATCTATAGTTTTACCCACATCTAAGGGGTTAATAGTTAAAACTGCATTTTCTGGTGTTTTATGTGTGGCTTAACATTTATTTGAGTTTTGATATGTTAATATGATATTTTGTTTTATCCCTATAGTGAGATCCCAGAGCCAAAGGAATCACCACCACCTCCTAAAACCTCAGCAGCTGCTCAGTTGGATGAGCTCATGGCCCACCTGTGTGAAATGCAGGCCAAGGTGAGCACAGTCCCTGTGATAAAGCTTCCTGGGTTTATCTCTGTGGAACTCAGCTCTGCCTTCCCCCTTTAGGAACTCTTCTATGTTGTCATTCATTTTCCCAGACTAAATTTAGTTCAACGGATGAACTCAACTTTGTGGTATGTATTATCTGGAAACAAAAGATAGTGTGATACAGCCTCCAATCTCAAGGAGCTTGGAGTGTGCTTGGTAAAATGAAGCATAAGCCTCTGTAACATTTACAGAATAAAGACAGGTGGTTTATCAAAATATATGGAGCAAACATTAGAGATGTGGAGAGGTCAAGGAGATTTTGTCAGAGGTGGGGATGGGATGTGGGATGGACTCTGAAGAATGGAAAGGGTTCGGATGCAAAGAGATGAGAGAGAAGGTCCTTTTAGTTGGAGTGAGCCCTGAGAGCATCAGCATCTAAGGCTGGATGAAGTGTGGCAGGACTGTTAAAGAGACCTGCCTGAGCAGGATGGAGGAGACCTGTGGGCAGACTGGGATAGAGCAAGGGAGATCAAAGTGTGGCTTTGAAAGTAGGAAGGGTGAGGAGTCCTAAGCCCCATATTCAGATAAAACCCGCCTCCTTGTTCTAGCCTCCAGAGCATGAGTGGCAAGCTCATGTGGTCTGGCAGGGAATAGAAATCAGAGAAGTTGACTTAAAAATGTATTAAGGGAAATATCATCTAGAATTCTTAAGGCAGAGAATCCAACCATTCTAAATTGTTTGGAGGATTTGATATGCACTCGTCAAGTGACTATGAAATAATTTCAAGGCAGTATATAAAAATGTGTGTGGTCAGGGAGGACAGGAACCTTGTCTTTGTGGCTCACCTTTGCCCGATGCCCAGCACAGTTCCTGACACATTGTGAATAATACATACTTATTAGAGGGATAAATGAATAAATGTCAGAAACAAATTTTTCTTTAATGTTTACCATAAAGCTGCATGCATTCCTCATAGCGCTGTGTATCAGAAACTACTATGAAAAAATCTACATTAGGAGTTTTGATGGTGTTGTGTTTTCTAATTGATGTAGCATGTCTTGGTTTATTTCCATTTAAAAAACATCTATTTTTTGAATAGGCCATGCATTCACATTATACAAAAATGAAAAGTACAAAAGTTTGCAGTGAGCTGTTTCTCTATCAGCTCTGTCCCCAGCTGTTGGTTCTGTCCCCTGGAGGTCATCAGTATTTCTTACATATCCTGAAGTATTCTGAAATATACAAGCAAATAGTTATAGATGTAAATGTAGATGTAGATACATAGATTTATATATATATGTGTGTGTGTGTATATATATAAAATTGTTTTGTACTTAATATTGGTCACCTTTTCAGGCCTTTGAGACCTTAAGCTTTTGAACACTAATCTCTTCAACATTAGCTAACATTATATAATAGAGGAGGAAGGAAATCTGTCAGATAAAAGTTTCTTGAAGGGAAATGAGAATTTTTGAATAGTGAGATAATGTGAGGTTATGCCTGGCAGTAAAAATAGGATATAGAGGCCTGAAGGCAGACGGTAACAGATCACATTCGGGAGACTGCAGGGAGCCTGGCTGGCCTTGAACAATGGAGGCTTTTGACTAAGTAATAAAAGATGAGATTGGAAAGGCAAAGTGAAGACAGAGGATGGGAGTCTTTGAATGCCTGTCTGATGCATGCAGATATGATGCTGGAGGCTGTGGAGATCAGGATCAGGAAATATTAGGGAGATGGTAGCAGTGGCCCGGTTGGAAAGGAGTTGAGAGAGATGGAATCAGGACATGAAGTGATGAAGGACAAGTTGGGCATCTTTTTTTGTAATTTGAGGCTTTTCCTTTGAATGGTTTATAATAACTATTTTGGAGTTTTGCTTTAATAAATACAATCCACCAGCAAGTCTTATCTGACAACTTCTCACCACCTTCTCCCCTAACACCGATCCAAGTCATTACTTCTGGTTTGAATTGTTATAATAATCTCCCTCCTAACTAGTACCTCTAGTCCACTCTTGCTTGTCTGCACTTAATTCTTCACTCAGCTACCACAGGGATCTTGTAAATCAGATTCTTTCACTCGCATGCTTGAAATCCTCCAATGGCTCCATCACCCTTGGAATAAAACCTGAGTTTATTGTGAAGGCCTGATGCAATCTTTGCCTCTCTCCATCATCTTCTCCTGCCGCGCTCAATCTTACTCCCTCTGCCCTAGCTTCAGTGGCCTTTTTTACTTTTATTCTAATGTACCAAACTGTTTCCTTCCTCTGGGCCTTCCTTCCCTCTGGAATGCTTTTCCCACAAATATCAATATTTCTGGGTCCCTAAGTACATCACTCAAATATCTGCTCAAATATCACCTCCTTAGAGGGCCTTCTCTAATCACCCTCGTCTGAATCGATTCTTTCTCACCATACCACCCTCTGTCACTTCTATCTTGATATATAACATATCTTCTCTGTGCCTGACATTACATCATATATTTACTTGTTAAATTGTTTATTGTCTATCACCCAGAGAATATAAACTCCACGAGGGCAGCACTCAGTTGGCCTTGTACACTGCTCTATACCAAGAGCCTAGAACAGTGATTGGCACAAACTAGGTGTTCAATAAACATTGCAGAGTAATTGAATAAAAAGATATGATTAACTGTTGACATATGGTCATCATAAGAACAAGAAAAGGTATCATCTTCATACACTCAATTTCCTATGGTCAGAAAAGATTTACAAATGGAGGAAGATTAGTCAGATTTCATTTGTCCTGAGGAACTTAGAATGAAAGGATGATGAAAGCATTTTTACTGGTGTTACAATATGGGATTCTTCCATACCTTGGAGAAAGGTTAGGGAAAGACTAAAGGATCAGTCAGTAGAGGTGAACTTATAGGATCATGCAGAAGATGACAATGAGGGTAAATGTACATGAGACTGATTCTCTTCATGGTTCTTTCCTTGGTACCAGGCTGCAGTGAAACCAGATGTCAGCAAGAAACACTTACCAGACAAGCAGGGTGACAAGCCTTCCCTGGACTCAATGCTGGGGGGTTTGGAGCAGGATTTGCAGGACCTTGGAATTGCCACAGTGCCCAAGGGCCATTGTGCTTCATGTCAGAAACCAATTGCTGGAAAGGTGGGATGGGCCATGATGTTGGTCCTACAGCCATCTGTCTGTGTGTATGTCTGTCTCTGTCCCACCAAAGATTGCTCTATTTCCTCGTATTCTAAGACATTTTAGTAATAGTTAATAATAACTGATCCCTTATAGTGCTCCAGTCACTGAGCTAAGCGCTTTATAAGTATTCTCTCATTTAATAGTCACATTAGCCCTTCAAGGGAGACTCTATTATTGTGCCCTTTGTAAAGATGAGGAAACTGAGTGCTCAGGGCTGTTAATCGACATGTCCAAGGTCTAGTAAAAGGTAGAGGTAAGATGTGAACCTAGAAGAATCTGACTCCCAAGTTCGGGCTCTTAACCATTTTTCTGTACTGCCTTTACTGAGAGGAACTTCTTGCTGCTTCCTCTGTTCTGACATTCCTAGTCTAAATTAATTGATTATAGTTTTCAGCTATGCTCAGCTCCAAATCATGGCCACAGACACCTGCTCTACATCATCCTTCACCAAAACTGTAATGGGAAGGGCTTTGCGACCTGACTCTGCATGGGGCGTGAGATGAGATGTTCAGACCTGAGGAATAAAAACTGTCATTTGGCCTTTTTGCCTTCAAGGGATCCCTTCCATGCCAAGGCTGTAGTATCTCTTGTTGATCACTCCTGTGCTCTATTTTGTTTCTCTCACCCTCTGGGGCAGTCTAGTGATAACAGACATTTACAGGGTTTTGTTAGCATAATCAGTCCGGAAACTGGGCACTCTTTTACCATCCATAAAGCACAGACAACAGATTGCATAGGTAGAACCTCAGTCTAGGCCTCAGTGTTGTGTGACTCCAGGAGTGTCATTGACAAGAATACTTGTGAAGAGTGCCCTCCAGAGTTGTGCAACCTGTAGGCCCTAGAGCACCCGACTGGACTCCCGTGCCAGGTCTTATTTCATCCTCTAGGTGATCCACGCTCTAGGGCAAGCATGGCATCCAGAGCACTTCGTCTGCACTCACTGCAAAGAAGAGATTGGCTCCAGTCCCTTCTTTGAGCGGAATGGCTTGGCCTACTGCCCCAAGGACTACCACCATCTTTTTTCTCCACGCTGTGCATACTGTGCTGCTCCCATTCTGGATGTAAGTAAATCCCCCTTCCTCCTGCTTTTGTGTAGCGTTTAATCACTCATTTAGAACCCAGAACCGGGGTCATGTTTACAGCTCTGCAGCCTTCTAACATCTCTCTGTGTATTCCTTTTACAGAAAGTGCTGACAGCAATGGACCAAACCTGGCACCCAGAGCACTTCTTCTGCTCTCACTGTGGAGAGGTGTTTGGCGCAGAAGGTATGCCCCTGGGTAGTTACAAGAAGACCAGCAGAGCTTTTCCTTGATCTTCTGTGGGGGTCCTGGGTCCTACATGCCCATTTCAGTACTAGATGCCCTCCCTCCCTACTCTTTACCGACATTTATAAATTTTGTTTAAATTGATTTTTTAAATCAAAGAAATATGAATACATAGTTTAATAAATCAAATGTTACTTCAAAGGTAATATCGAAAAAGATTAGTCCCTTGCCTTTCCTTTCTCCACCCTCAAATCGAGTTCTCCTCTCCAAATTTTTTAGCTTTTTTCTATTTACTTGTGTGTTTTAAATAATATATTACTATAGATTTTTTTCTCGTTTTAACCATTATTTTAATACATAATCTATCAGGGAAGGAGAGGATTTAGAAATGTTATTACTACCCCATCTTACCCCCAGCATATTTCTCCTCCCCCATTCTCTCAGTATATATTTAGGCTATAATTATGGGTCAGATCAATATTCAGTGTGTACATGTTGACAACTATGGAAATATTGCTTATAGTTGAGCCATGTAGCAAACTACAATTACAGTGGTGCACAGATTTTAGAGTTAGACTGCCTGCTTCAAATCTGGACTGTGGTTTTTATTAGCTATATGATGCTGTTCAAGTCATTTAACCTCTGTACCTCGCTTTTCTCATCAGTAAAATGTGCCTAATAGTAATGCTTACCTTTTATAGGGTCATTTTGAGGATTTTAAGATACAGTACCAGTGTAGTGTTTAGAACAGTGCCCAGCACATGGAGACATAGTAATAATTAATATTATCATGCTATCCTTTTTATATAAATTAATTTTTTCTTAAAGTTAAGTTTTGGATCTCTTTTTCGTTAGCTTAATTTTTGTTGTGCTTATCTCTAATTTATCTGACAGAGCTGTGAACTCCCTCTCAAAATGACTAACTGTATCTGATAATATGTCAGTTCCATTTGTTCTCTCTTGGAGACTTCCATCCTCCTGCTCCAGCCTGAAATGGTTTCTTCTCAGGCTTGCTGAGAATCAGTTATTCTGGACCATTATCTTGGGAATTGCTTTTACTACTTTCTTCTTTGGATCCTTTGTTTCCTGCCTCTCATGTATTTTATTAATGAATGTTACTGTCTTTCTTTTGGTAGAGCACATCCTCTAGCAGTCCCTGAGAATAGAAGAGGAAGTAAAACTTTTGAGGCCTTGAGTATCTGAAAATATTTTTATTCTGTTGTCTACCTTAAGTTGACTGGGCATAGAATTCTAGGTGGAAACTATTTTCCCTCATAATTCTGAAGACATTGCCTCATTGTCTTCCAGCTTCCATGGTTGAGAAGTTTTTATTAACATTTTAATCTTATTCCTGATCATTTCAGTGTGATCTGTTTTTCCCTCTTTGCAAGTTTTTCTTCCTTCTGTTTTCTGAATTGTCTTGATTTTTTTTTCTGAATTCTTTTTGTTTTGAACAGATATGACTCATACATAGAATCAGAAGATTTCTTTATTTTATCTTTTCTTGTCCTTTTAGAATTAACTCAGCGGAGAATTTTTTCTCCTCTCTCCTGAATAAAAACTTGGGCAGTCCCTTGTCTTTTCTGATTACTCTTAGTAAACGGTTCTAAATAGAAAATTAATTTAGGACAAAACACAAAATGGAGTCCTTAGGTAATTCAGTCTGTATAATAAGCGACAGCTTCCAATTTATTTAAAGAGACAGCTACTCTCTCCCCTGGTAGGGCCTTTAAGCTGCAGGAGGCCAGGGAAGGGGGTTATGGCCTTTCTTCTGTCCTTTCCTGCCTTTGGCATCCACCACCCTCACCCCTATTGTTCATCTTGATATCTGACCCTTCCAGAGTTGAAACAGGTATGGAAGGAGATGAGACTGGAGGGCAGGAAAGTTCTAACTTGTCTCTACTGTTGTAAATTTGCTTATGCTCTCTGGGCCTGGCAGATGTTTAACTCTGACTTTTTTTTTTTCTTGGATGCTTTTATGGATTCAATATAGGTCCGATTGCAAACTCTTGATTGCGCTTCACATGTCTTGGCTGGCTATTCTCCCCTTGGCACATTTCTTTGAGGATCCATTCCACACAGATTCTTTTGTGTAGGGTTTACATTATTCCTTCTGGTGATCTCTTAGAAATGATTATAATGGTTCCAGATCATCTTTTTCACTCACGTTTTCATATACGGACCATGGGAAACTTGCACCTTTCTCTTGCAGTCAATGGGATCGCAGTTAATTTTCAGGTGCATCTCTAGTGGACTCCATCTCCTATGGACTTTTTCCAGAGATGAGTCAAATACCATCAACCATATCCCACTAATGACGGGGGACACATATCCAGCTGTCTGAGTGGTCCCATTGAAATCCCTTTCTTGACTTGAGGTTAGCAGGAATCATACCTCATCCCTTTCGGAGGTGGTGGTCAAACACCGATAGCACAGTTTTCTCCAAAGAAATCCTTCTCTCAATTTCCCTTTCTCTTCATCTGTTTTATATCCTCAGTGTAAGTGAGGAGTTCAAGAACTGTGCAAACAGTTCATGGCTATTTGTTTTGAGGGATGTCTTGCAGCTCAATTTGGTATTTGATATCTATTCCATCTTGATGCCTTACATCTTGTTATGTTAGTCTTTGCCAAATGCTGCTGATCTTTGGTTGCCCATTTACTATTTAATAATAAGATGCTAAAATGCTAATTGGAAGCTCTGTGGATATAGGCAGAACTTGTTGAGTGGTTGACCCAACTGTATGGTACTTAGGTAGGATGCTCAGGCCATTTTGCTGGAGGACCCCTGGATATTAATATTTAGTTATCTTGAATCAATTCTACCAAAGAGATATTTTCTCTGCCACCATTATGAAAATTTTAAAAAGAGATTGGAAGATGGAGTTTTCACCATTCATTATGTCAACTGTTATTTAAGTCTCATTTTTCAGTAGAAAACTTGACTTCTTTCCTCATGGTGCCTAGTATCCCTGATCATTGAGACTCTCTGATTTGACATTTCCAGAATTAATCACTGCATCTTATGGTGGAGTGGGGGATCTGATCTTCTAACAGCTCTTCAGACTTGCAACCAATCCTGTTTCCAGCCCTGATGACTATTTTATGCATTCAGGTCCTGAGCCCCTCTGATGTTAGGAGCTCCAGATGGCTTGAGTTTTATTGGCACCTCCCCTCTGTAGAGATGTGGGTTTCAGTTTTCTTGTTTTTGCCAAGCTAGTTATCACTCTTATACCTACTTTAAATTTTGGAAAATTTTATTGATATCTCTTCTGTGGCATCACTTTCCCTTTTCTCTTTTTCCTTGTGTGTCTTTTTATTTTAAATAATTCTTTATCATGTTAGCAATGTTTCAAGAGGGAGTGAAGATAATTCCATGTGTCGTGTCCCTCACCAACATGGAGACTCTCCTAAATATCAGGCATGTTATTGTGTATATTCCTAATTATTATTCATTTAATCCCCACTGCAATCTTGTGAGAGTCATTTTATTTCACATCTTACCTAATGACAGATGAAAACACTGAACCTCAGAGGCAGAGTGATTTTCTTAAAGTTATACAACTAGAAAATCAAAGAGTTGGAATTTAAACTCAGGTCTCATTTCTGCAAGTTCCATGTTTTTGCTACAACATCATAACTGCCCCTTGATGGAGACTCAGTTCCTCTTCTGCTGTTGGATCTTTTTATTTTCTTGGCACCAACATGATATACTTTATTTGAAGATAGACCCAGATCAAGTAGCACTGATAGACTCCAATAGCAATGTGCTTTGTAATAATTTGCTTGTTCGCTGAAGCTCGTTCAATGCTTTTCACAACTCATTAGGTCTTTCATTTCTAGATTGCACTTTAGTTAAACAGAATTTTTCTTTGAGATTTAATCTAAAGCATATTAAAATGTGTCACGGTAAGTTTATATTGTATTGGTATCCATAGAAGCCTGAGGCTTAGTTGAGTAGAACAGTTGGCAAGTGAACACTGCCCATGGATCATTATCATGTGGAAGTTCCCTGAGAACAGAACAACAAGACATAGACATATTTCAAGAAAAGACATAAATTAGATACAAAAGAAAAATGATCTTATCCATAGGATGACCAGAAAGCACCATGAAGGTACCTAGTTTTCATTGTTCTTGACTTGGGCCCCTTCAAAATAGACAAGGCTGATTGGGTCATTTATGACTTTACATAAATAGAAGTCACACCTAAGACATGTTGATTGAGACAACTGACAAAAAAGGCCATTTATTAATTAGAAGTTCCTCTTAAGTTGTATTTTTGCTTTTATCCTTTGCTTTCTATAAATGAGTCTCCTACTGTATGGTTAGTCCATTAATTAGGTGGCATCCTGCCTTACCCTATGTCACGTAGTCACACACACAGTTTCTATAATGACAGCTTAACTGCTGAGCCTCCTGGGAAAATAAATTCATCTGCATTTTTGTTTCAGTTCAGAGAATTCTTCTTTAAGGCTCAAGTTTCTAAGCACATCAGGCCTTAGCATCCTCCCACAGGGACCAGGTCCTCAGTGCCTACGTCTTTCTTTTTAATTGTTCATTATCCAGGCCATGCAGGTTCTCCCTAATTCCCCCTGTGGTTAAGAGCCTCACCAGAGGGTAAATGCCTCCCTCTCTCTGTGACACTTTTAATTGTTAGTGTTTCTCATCCATCCTCCAGAGGTAATTGGCCCCAGAGAGAGCCTCCAGGGAAGTAAGTGCTGAAACTTTCTCAATTTGTTGGATTACTAAATGCAGGGGTATCACAGCAAGTTCAGCTGATTGCTTTTAATTTCTCTCCCGGGACTCACCTGAGTTGAAACAGAGGCTGTTACTTCCCTGCTGTCTCATTCTTGAGATCAGCTACCCTGCAAATGCCTAGATGAGGGTCATTCCTAGGTCAGTTGGCATGTCTTATAATTTTCTCAAGTAACATCAACTTATAGGCAAGTTCACTTTTGTCTCATTTACTTTATAAAGCATCAGCATCACATGGGAACTTG